GCCAATAAAAGTTATAGCCAGGAAGAAGGGAGGGTTGGGGAAAGGTTGAGGGGTTTTTTTTGAGATTTGGTTTTATTTCTCACTATCCTACTGTGATTTGATTGGTAATAAACTAAACCCATTTCCCCAAGTCAAGGCTGTTGTGCACGTGATGGTAACTGGTGAGTGATCTCTCCCTGTCCTTATCCTGAGCCTCTTGTAATTTCTCTCCCCTGTCCAGCCAAGGGGAGTGACAGTGCGGCTATGGTGAGCACCTGGTTTCCAGTCAGGGTTAACCCACCACAGATGGCAAGTGCCATCTGCACACAGGCAAAACATTTGGATTGCAAAATAAGAGCGCCTGAGCATTATTCTAGTCAGTATTTTAGATGAAAAGAAATCACCAGTTTTTTAGAGACACTCCTTACCTGTGGTGTAAGCTCAACTTCAAGCTCACCAGACAAGTACTGGCGTTCAAACTCAGCATTCTCTCCAACATAGGATGACACCATGCGTTTTATCTGCTTAGTCTGAAGCAGAAGACCAAGTCCAAAATTGTCAACACTGTGTAGAAAAAAAACAACAGACAATACAGTTTTGTTGTAAACAAAGCACTTGATAGGCTTTAATGACTTAACAACAAAGAACAAAGTTATCTGCCCATACCAGGCATAAGGAATTAAAGACAAAAATCAAATTCCAGCTTTTAGGGAGGGAAAACATCAAAGCTACAATTAAAATTTAAGATTGCTCAGACCTCATCTTTTCTAAGGCATGGAATACATCCAAAACTTCCTTTTTAAATTAATTCACATGTCAACAGCTACAAATACCAGCTTGACAAGTGGTGTTATTTTATGTATCTGCTCCTGTAAAAAGGCAATAAATCAATCAATAAAAAGTCAGACATGGCATAACCTGGCTTTGAGGGAACAAAGGCACACTGTTGTTAAAACTCCTGCTCCCCATGGAAAAAGGCAAGTGATTGCTTAGCAGCTCAAGGAGAAAGGCACATTCACATTTACAAAGCTAGTTTGTACCTGAGCTCAGAGAGTATTTGGATTCAAATTTTCTCATTATAGTAAACAATTAAATTTCTTACTAGGAAAGTCCCTACTCCAGCAAAACATTTTAGCACTGCAGTCAAGATTTCCTTGTCTGTATCACCTTAAACTGAATGCCAAAGATGACCCAAAACATTTTTCTTGTGCCAGTGCTTCTAAAATTCTGATATCCTAAAGAAATTACACTCCATTAGTCTTTCGCATTTTTGTGATGTTTATCATCCTATATTCAGTACTAATGGAACAGGAACATATTTCAGGAGTTCCTGCAACCAAGGGGCTCTGTAAAAAAAAAGCTACTTCAATTTGAGGAAATATGAGGTTAAAATGGAAAAATGGAAATAGGCATGGATGATATTACAAACACATGTTTCTTGCACATTTCCAACACTTTTTGGAGGATGGTATATGTGTGCAAAGCTCCTCTACATTTATTCAGCAACATATGGCCAGAGAATGCAGACTTTCCACACCTCCTATGGTGCCATGACTCAGAAGTACCTCACTAAAGTGTTGTGTATCTCCCACTAGATGGCTCAATTCAATATGACTTTACCCACACAAGAGCTTGAGATTTCGGGATAAGAAATACTAAATAATCTTAAAACAATCCTGTAAGATACCCAATACTCAGCATGCAGTAATTTACACACACATGTGCTTACAATATACACATCCTATTGAAAACACCATTCCTGAAGCAAAGCTCCAAGAAGGTTGTCAGGACCTACAAGAACTGCAAGGACAGACCTGCAGTCGGAAGGACTTTGCAACTGCATGTATAATGAGCACTATTTTAAGGCTAGGACTATTTTAAGAAGATGCCCCACTTCTGTGCATACTCAGGCATTTTGGAAACTGCACGAGTGGAAGTGAAACAAGCTTCTGTGATCTGGTTCTCTGAATTTATTCTGTGTTCTCTAGCATTAAAGAATGTGGGTTATTACAAAAGCTTGCTCCACTCTCCAACTCTGTCCCATTAAAACAAATTAAAAATCTAACTCTGATGCAACTTGAAAAGTATTGCAGTGCCAAATCCCCGGGACTAAAATGTGTGTTGCCTGGAAACAACTTGTATTTCTAACTCCTTGTAGGAAAGAATTCCAGCAATTTGAAACTAAAAGAGCTGAGAATAGAATAGAGAGAGGAGTCGTGTGGGCAAAAGGGATTAAAAAACAGAGTATTAAAAAAAAAAAAATGCCAGAATTTCCTGTGTATGTTCATTCTAAGAAGGACAATCCCTCTCACAAGAAAACCATCAAACCCTGATCTCTCAATACAAAATGCAATAAGCAACATAACAGACCAGCCAACATCTGATGGCAGTTTAATGGGTTGGTGTAAATACAGTACTGTGTAGCAGAAGTACAGAATTTAAACAAAACTGCACAGTGCTTTCTAGTGCAAGAGCAAGGGACAGCCTGAACTGCTTGCAAACCAAAACTGCTTGCAACTTCTCCTTTTCATTCAGGTGAGTGACACAGCTCTTCCCACTGCAAAAGTTAGAAGCTATCAAACAGAAACAAGCAGACACTAGGCTTCTGCACACAGACAACAGAACTCTGAGCATGCATTCCGATGAGAAAAGATGGCAACAGAGGGTCAGGAGCAGCTTTGTAATGGTTAAAGAAATTTCTGCCTCATTTCACTAAGATACATAATTCTTCCTCCTAAATTCTCAGAAGCGGCTATTGGACCACATTGTCCTTAACAGGATTTTGCCTATGATCTTGCAGAATCCAATGCAGGATCCCATATGCATACACTTGATTCCCTGATCTACTATTGCCAGGTATGTTCTTTCAAATAAAACTTGCTGAAAAAGAAATTAAGTAGGAAGTTGCACAAAAGTTATTCTCTGGGACACTTATGCCAAGTTGCTCTTCACTTCTTAAGTCACTCAAACACAGTCCATTTATTCAAAAACAAAATTGCAGTGAGGATCTGTTGCTGAGCACAAGGACCATATACAGCCTTATTTCCCTAGCACAATGAGAACGGAAATTTTACCTTTTCAAAGTCATGCACCAAGAGGCTCTGCCTGTCAATGACACAAAATACTTCAACTCCTACATGCTCCTACAGAGCAGCATCACAAAATCCAGTTGCCATTACTCATATTCTTATTTTAGATGTAAATTTCTTAAAAGAAATACAGCACTATCCATATTTTTTAAGGATGCAATCTACATTCAGGTTTCCAGCTCAAAGACTCCTTTGGCTTTCCACATACATCAGTTTTCATCTCCCTCCAAAAACTCATTTTGAGCACTTCAGCCTATTTAATGTTTTTCTCTCATATTTTAGTGTCCTAAACCACCAACACTGCACACAGAAAATGCTGTTCTCACTCCTATTCTTCCTACTCTTTGACAGTCACATGACATCTCTATCCCAGATTAAAAATAAAATTAATAGATCTGGTCTGGGGAAATTTCTTGCAATATAACACTTCTACATCAGTTGTAAGTTACTCGATCTCCCTCTTCATATTTTGCTACTTTCTTGCTTGTGCTGGTTTAGGCACAAAGGTTTTCTTGAGCTTTTCAGCTTTATGTTTATGCTGAAAATACAACCCCTATAATATTTCTCTTGTAGGCAATGCTCTTCCTATCAAACAATAACTATAAAAAAGAACCTGTACTGAATGCATGAAAAGAATACATTCTGCATAACTATTTCAAAGGCTGGATTCAGTCCTTTAATCATTTAAACAAAGGTGAGAGCAGTAAAATGCATTGCCCTAGATAGGAAGGAAGAGGTGTGGTGGAAGTTGACATAGTTGTGATGTAAGCAATTGGAAAAGGGAAAGTACACATTAGTGCTAGACAGAGAATGCATTCTTTTGCCCTCAGAATTGTTAAGATTTCTAGAAGTTTCCCCACTCCGTATTAGGATGTCAGCAGAATACACGAAACACATACAGGAAACAAGATCTAACTAGGCACTCATCAAGAATGCAGGTGATCTAAGTTCCCCATTCTACTGTCGTGGACAAGAAAAAGTAAGGAGGTCTGGTTGTTTAGCAACACCTTACTTCCTGTTGTCCCTCTTAGACCTAGGAAGCCTTCCTGTCAAAAACTAATGTCTGCCTTTTCTAATTAAAAAATCAGCCAAAGATGACTCACAGACAGATCCAACCCACGTATCTCCAGTATACTGGAAGTAGTCAAAGGCAACATGTTGATTTTTTCACTGCAGACAAACAATTTGCAGAGCTCAGACCTTTTTCTTAGTGGCTCAAGCAAAACACAGTCTAGAGCATCACTGGGAAGAACAGATCACCTAAGTTTCCAAGCTGATAAAAGCCCTACACAGTCTGATGAAGTAGGGAACAGAAATTTCATAGAATCATAGAATCAATCAGGTTGGAAGCTTATGCAGAAAAATAAGCTTATTTGCAAACTTATGCAGAAAACAAGGATACCTGGAATGTCATACACTCTGTCAGGAGACGTGCAGTGGCTTATTGTTCAGGGGTATTTTGAGTAAAAGGAGATAATGACAACTCTCTCTCTGCTTTTGTAAAGATGTTTATATATGTCTAAAAAACATGAGGGTGGTCAGGGCAGACTGGCTGACCTTACTGTAAACAGTGGAAAGCAAAGGTGACCAGCATCAATTAGCATGAGGGCTTCATTCTACTTCTCCTAAAGAGAAGTCTTCCTCTACAGTCATTGTTCAAAGATTGTCCAGGACCTGACATGCATATTCCTGGAAGATCCCATAAGACTGGAAGTCATTGGTTATGAAAGAGTATCTTGAGTTTTGAAGAATTAAAATATGTTGGCCAATGAGGAGCTAACATGATACCCTACCTGACCTTTCTCCTCTCATAATTTGGGGACTGGAAACATGGGAGGGTAACTACATCACTCCTGAAGACAGAGAAAAGTAAAGCAGGCAGTAACAATCCTGGGGCAAGACTCCACCTCAGGCAGACTGTTGCTGCAAAAAAAGCATACTTATGGTTGGTCCTACGCCTGGAGAATGCTTTATGTAAAGATGCTAGTCATTTTCTGGAGATAAATGGGCAGTCTCTTTAGGCATTCAGCAGGTCCAAGTGTTACATAACGAAGCATGAAACTTGAAAACAGATGGACCTGTTCCAGAGCTAGAAATCTTCTTGGCAATAGGCTAGGAAACAATTTCCTCCACCATTCTCCATGTAGAAGAGGCTGTTTTCCTTTGTAACACCAGCTTTTCAGTCTCCAAATGGACATGCTCCAAGTTACATGCAATTATGTCTTCCTATAAATCCACAATATCCAGGGAACATCAGGTACTCTCCCCAACTTAAACTAAGGCATCAATCACTACCTGTTTAGCATTTCTTAGAAAAACAGTCTCAAGCTTTCAGGCCTGACTATAGCACGACATTTGTCAGCATGAAAGGAGGAGTGTGGATGAAGGCACCATCTGAGTTTTTAGGGATGCACATTCTTAGGCCCACAACAATAAAATACAATCAGTTCCAGAAAGAGACCCTTTACAGCCTTT